AGGAGAGCTGGCCCTCGCCCTCGGAGCGCTGCATTGGCGCGTACAGCTAGCCCTGTCACAAGAACGTGGTCCACACTTGGCGTGTTCCAAACTTAAATTGCTTGGGCTGGGAGCTTAGGCGATACTGCGTCTCTTTTAGAAAAGGTGATGTGGAGCTTTGTTTACGTGTCCCTCAAAGCAAACGGAGCTGCTGAGGGTACAGCTCACAGCAGCCTGTCCTGGGACAGCGGATAGACTGCCCTCTCTCCTTCCCAGTTCCTGAGGCGACAGCAGGTTCTTCAGTTATACAGAAAGATCCTGCGGGCTATTCGTGAGGTCCCTGCTGAAGCAGATCGCCACTACTTAAAGGACTGGGCCAGGGAGGAATTCAGGAGAAATAAGGATGCTACAGAAGAGGTGAGGATTGAGAACCCGCAACTCTGCCCGCCCTTGGGAATGATCGCTGTGCTGTTACGTGGGTGTCACGTCTAGACTGCTGAGAAGGCTCCTGTTACCGTTGTCTCTTAAGGAGCATTTATGTGAAAAAATGATTCAGCATCTCTAAATATTATTCCCACCCATTGGTAGTAGTAGTAGTTTCTCTGCTTTCCAGACAGTAATCCAGAATCAAAAGCTAAAAATCAACAAATCCCACTTAAACCACAAATCAGCAAAATGGTATCAAATGATACAATAACTAACATAAACTTACTAATGGTCAGGCTTTCTATAGCTTCCTTTTTTTTCATCTTTAATTTCACCTGTATTGAGGCGGAATATACAGTCAAATTGGATGGTTGTGGATATGAAGCATGCATGAAATGCAGAAGCCTTTACATTTCTTATATCTCTCCTGTCCCCTGCTTTCCAGTTTGTTCCTTTTTCTAGCCAGTTCTCGAGGAATTGGTGGCTGAATTATGCAGACAAAGCATTACAGTACTTAGATAAAACTAACATTGAGCGAAACATCCACTGGCTCCGTAAAACACCTGTCTTCACAATGCCGGAGTGTGGTTGTCACTACTTACTTTTACTTGCAAAGGTAGTAGACAACAGAGGCGTAAAGAAAACATCATTAGGAGTTTGAATCCAGTTCAAAACTGAGTTTTAAAGCAAAGCTGTAACCATCCCCCAAACACATCATTAAGGAATTGGACAAAATTAATTCATTCGTTCACCTGTTTTAACCATCTCAGTGACAAGAGCGTTACTTCACACAAAGAAATAGATCACAATAGTGCTGGTAAGAATTGTATGTATTGTAATGTGTTAAAATTTGCATGCTTTGTGTAAAATCTGTGCTGCGTACAGATGTTCAGTTGAGTAGATTCCATTTTGTTTTACAGGATGTGATCAGGATGATGATTACTCAAGGCAACATGCAACTTCAGGAACTTCAGAGAACACTTAAGCTGGCAAAATCCTGATAGTTTGTTGATAGCTGGACTTTCATCTGCGGGGAGCAAGCATAGTATTTTTTGCAGAATGTGGTTATAATTGCAGCCTTTGCTGACAACCTGGTAATGTTTGAAGGTGGAATAATCTACCACAGTGGGCTTTTTGTTTGTTTCTTCCCCTTCTCGGTTTGGTTACTCTCATGTGTGGAGACCACTCGGACACAACGGACTTTAAAGAACTGAATCGATGTTGTAGCATGTGGTGTGGGACAAGCAGAAAGCACCAAAAATTAGAGCAGCACCAGTGTTATGCCAGGGAAATTGAAAATAAACCAGATTATTTTGTCTGTTTTCTATTGTGGCAACTCTTAAGTGGCAACATTCATAGCGGTAACAGCTCTTTCTGTACTGTGCCAAGGAGTTTTACCAAAATTTGGGATTAAAAAAGCATTTGGGATAAATAAGTAGGCCCAAAACAAATAAACATGATTGATAAAACATTAAGAAAAGGTTTTGTATGTAGATGTTGATTCTCAGTTATAGCCAAATAAAACTTAAAAGAGGAGATCTTATATATGAAAATGAGAGATTTTAGCCCCAGAATTGGTTATCAGCAAGTTAGCAGGAAGTACCTTCAAGTCAGTATTTAAAGGTCACTATAAAGTAGAATTGGAAGATAGAAAATACTAACTGCAGATGTTGTGGTCTGTTTTTCCAAATGTCATATTACTCCACTTCCACTTGTTAGCTTGCAACTGTTCTTAACCTTCCTGTGCATTGCAGTATATCTTGGGTTTTTTCCCCTGTAATTTAAAAATGCCAAGGTGAGTCTGGGATTTTCTCAACATAAATAGCCAGATGACAGTCGATAAGGTGCCTGGCTGTCCGGTAGCTGTGTGCAATTTAGGTTGTGGTTTCAAGAGATGCAGGAACCCTTCCCTCTCCCACTCTGCTGTTACGGTTCCCTTCAGGAGCCACCTCCCCTTGCCAAGGTGGCTTTCTGCCTCACAGCAGGGCCAGTAAGTGCCACCATGGGAAGGGACAGGACAGTATTCCCTCTCCAGGCTACAGGGGGAAGAAAGACCCCCCTCGGGAGCAGGGGGTATGCTTACTGGAGCCGAAAGGTCTTCAAAGCTCCATACTTCAGCAAAGCTGCTTTGCAAAAAGCTGCTGCTTAACAAGAAAGAATGCCTTTTTTTTTTTTTTTTTTTCTCTCCCCCTGCCCCCCCAGTGCTTTTCCTGAAAGTCATTGTAGAATCCTTTCCTACGATGTTTATTTAGCTTTGCAGTAAAGGATGTGGCTCAGGCTGCTAAAGAGTTCAGGTTTGTACAGGCAAAAGCCTTTGAGCTTCTAATCAGTCAGTGAAAAATACGTATGTCTAAATATTTGCTTAAAAATCTAAATTTTGTAAACATTTGCTGGTAGACTACACTGACAGAACACTAGTGTGTTGGGGATTGATTTTTCACGTTACCAGAAAATGCTATTTTGACTAAACAAAGCCGTAATCAATGTTGGCTTGTGCTCACACGTAGCCTTCCCTTTCCCCTCAGCCAGTGGGTTGATTTCTGCCTCTTAACTAGGAGACGTTACCCTGCCGCCTCATCGCAGTGCTTTCCATTCGGAGCCCTGAGCCTGCCTAACTCCTTTGACTCCAGATTGTACATTTCTAGGTTGTGGCCACATAATCCAGGAATAGGACTCGTGAGGCAGCGCCCTGAACAGCCACTGGCCTCACAGTGCTGCTGCCTGTGATCTCAACTGCTTTGTGGGCTTGGCAAGGTAAAATTGCCTTCAGGAGTCCAAGTGTAGTCTGCTAGGGTAAGTAAATCAACTCCAAACATGTGCTGCAGAGAAAGGTAGATAATACAGGCATTTTGTAAAGAAATCCTTCAACTCGAGTAGTTTTGAAGGAGGGAGGATTACAGAAGAGACTAGAAAGGAATTAACAGAAAATGCCTCCCTTTATTTTACGGTACACTTGTTGGCTTCAGAAAAACCTCTAAAATGAGTCCTCTGCAGCCAAGTTCCTGCTCCAAAGGCCACCCTGGTAGTGCAGTTCCTCCGTGAAGCAGACGAGCTAAAGCCATAGCCTTTGCTTTCCCCTTCCCCTTGCGCAAGCTCAGGAGCCTGCGTGTGCTCAGGTGCACAGCCCAGCCCTGTGCCAGGAACGTCGGAACTCGCGGGTGTGCGCACCAGCTAACAAGTGGCGGTCAGTCCCTGCAGCACCCCCAGGACAGACAGTACACCTGGTTTCCGTGTTTTTATAGTCACAAACATAAAAGCTTAGAAGTTGAAGTCCAATTTTCTGCTCCCCCTTCTGAGTCAAGTCGAGGGGATTGTGTCCATTTTCTCTGGCTAGAAAACATTACACCACAGACTTCTGAGCAACGCTTATTTTAATTGCTTGGCAAAACATTCACTTTATCAAGATGATACAAAACTTAAATAGCATGCTTCTGCATTCCTACAGTAGCTTAAACAAAACTGTAAACATATGAAAGTGTCTATATTAGACTACAGAAGGCAGAGCAATAAAACTAGTATTTCCATAACTGCAGATATACTTGTCTTGATAGTGCATTAATGGGAACTTTAAAAATATTGTTATATAATACAATTTTCTTTGCTTTATACATCTGCTAAGAAGATGAAAGCTTAACTAGTCAATGGTGTCCTCAATACTGTAAAGTATTGTGTATTGATTTTAGGGCTCCTCGGTACAGAAAAAAAAATATATCTTTCTCTGTGGTATAAAACAGTACTATCCTGTGTTTGAAGTGGTTTTTGAACAATTGTTCTTTCATGATCTGTTGAGTAAACTGACTTCTCTAACAGAATCTGATGGAGCCTTTGCAGAGGTGTAAGGAGGGAACCCTAAAGGGGTACAGCAGATGCAACGAGTTACAGTGCCTCTGGGTTATTTGGAGTCTGTCAGCCTGGACAACGTTGGTCATTGTAAGTTTCGACTTTGACAAAACACATCCATAAAAACTTTTAAATGTTGTTGAGTTCTATTTTGTGGGACTGTTTGTGAAACCAGTCCTAAGACCTGCAGGCTCACCAGGGCCTGGCCTCTCTTTTTAGAGATACAAGGGGAAAACAAACAGAGAGGGGAATCATTCAGAGGAACAAGGGGAGACAGTCTGGACAAGGGGTCTGGGAGAAAATCCTGACTCTGCAAGAAAAAGAAACATTTGAGGACTGGGAACCAAGCTTTCACTTTGTAAGATAAAGGACTTTTTCAAGCTTCTTCAGTAGTAGAGAATTCAGCCATCTGCTGCTTGAAGAAAAAGAGATCTACATAAAAATTATACCTAACAAGTAAAGCATGGTTATGGTAAAGTATTTGCCATCCATGCCCTAACCAAAACTTCTCAGTCAGGTTACTGGAGTACAGCGTCAACAGTCGTGTAACCCCAAGTTTTGCAACCAGGACACCATTAAAAAAAAGACAAATCTAATTTAGCACTTGTTTTAATAATGTAAAACCAAAAGAAAAGCGAAGTGGCAATCGAAGCCTCTGTACCTTACGGGATGACTCACCTTAGCATCTCGCTCCGTGGGAGCCTGGCCTCTGCCAGCTGGAAGCCTGCATCTATCACCTACGTGGGCTTGTCATCGGAGTTGGTTCTGTAGCTTCTCTCCACTGACTCAAGAGAGGCCGTGGGGAGTATCTAAAATAGTATCCATAGCCCTTCATCACTAAGGAATTCCGTCAAAAGCTCTCAAACATCCTGGACTTCCTTCTGTATTGGTATCACCACGTGTTTGTGTGCAGCGTACAGTGGAACCCTCTAGCCACACATGACCTATGTGGAAATACAGCATTTTCAGAAAGCAGTTTTGTTTTCGAACGCAGTTTGGTTTTTGGGCAGCACCTGGAGACTGAGAGTGCAATGTTTAACGGGCTCTTGGAAATTACAAAGAAAGGATCTAATCTGCAGCATCTCACTGTCATCAGTACAGTCTGCATATGAATTCTCCTCAGTTCTGGAGTTTCCAAGGTTATTTCTACTCCTGAAAAAGAGCATTTTATTTGGATGTAACAGGCACTACAAATATATATCTCTATCAATATTCCAGATTCCCATACAGCAGGTTCCAAAATGAATCCCACTGTTTGTCTTTACCTGCTTGGCAGATGCTAGCTCTCTTTCTGCACCTTAGTCCTTAATTTGCTGAGCTCGTCTTCTAAGCTTTTAATATGCTCCTTGAGCGCAGCTTTGTCTTGCTGAGCTTTCTGATTAGCTTGGCACCGGGCTTCTTCTATCTTCCGTTCGTACCACTTCTCCATCTGCGTGGAAACGGCCTCAAAGAAGTACTGTGTTATCTCCAGGGCCTGGGAGGTGTCTCTGGGCGGAGGGGCAGGGGGCTGTGCTGCGGGCAGGGCGGAGGGCTGCTGCTCCTGGCCCTGCTGTGCCCCGCCGTGGTGCAGGGCTTTGTGCCTTGACTGCCCGCTTTTGCCGGACTTCTTTGTCTGAGTTCCTTTGTCAATGAAGTAGCCGCTCTGTGGTTCAGTCCTTGCAAGTTCAGTTGAGGGCTGCAAAGCAGCTTGAACCTTAACGTGTCTTAATTTGGAGCCCAAAAGCTCGGTGGAGGGCAGCTCCTGCTGGAACCTGTGGAACGTGCTGGCACCAACAGCTTTGTCCTTTGGCCTGACATCTTGAACAGGCACAGAAGAAGAAACTGGTCCGCCAACAATTAACTGTTGCTCTGTACCTACAGAATAAAATATAGATACACATATTTAGAAAAGCTCTGGGCATTTATTTCAGCATTCAGAAATCCTCGTCGTTCGATGAATGATGTGGTTTCCTGTGTACCATGCTGTGTGTACATTGCAGAGGCTTTTATTAGTTTATCACATCTTCACAGTCAGGTGATTAATAATAAAGAGTCATTAAAAGAGAAAAGCTGGCTCAGGCGGAAGCACAGTACGTTGCGGCTGTGGGACTACAGACTGACAACAATCAAAGGACAACCTGCACACCTTCCTGACGGACAGCAGGGTGGGAGCAATTCTGACTGGGAAGCTGGGGAAATTTCAGAGAACAGTTATTCAGAGCACCAAAGGACTTGGCTTCAAAGACACAGTGACATGAAAGCATCAGAAGAGTCAGTGGAATTCCACCCAACCATGTCTTAACATTCTCTCAGCAGCTGCCTTGAAGTGTACTCTAAAGCAAAGAGATGGGGTGCATGGGCAGGGGAAAGCATACAGCCAGAATTAATTAATACAAGTATCCCTCAGTTAATTAGTTCGCCTTTGAATGAATATGACATCTCAGTACCTGACAAGGTTGTACCTGACGCACCATCTTGTTGAATGCAAAAATGTTGCCCAAAGCTCTGTTCTGGCATCGGGACTCTGCTCCTTCCCCCATCTTCCGAGAGGCTATTTGGAAGCGGGATATAGGAATGCTGGTGGGAGCCCTCTGACTGCAGCACGGGCTGGTTGGCTTTACAGTCCTTGGCACTGTGGGGGTTGTTCTCAGTATCCAGCGTCTCGGTGAGAGACTCACAAGTGGACAAAGTTGATTTTGGTCTTGATGACCTGGAATCTCCAGAAAGCTTGAGCTCCAGATTCTGAATCTTCAACATGCACCAAGTCTTCAGCTCATCGACCAAGGAAACCTGTGAGAAAGAGACTGTAAATTAGATGAGCCTACGGTCAGATCCTGTGGTTCTTGGGCTGCTGAGGATGTGTGGCAGGGACAGAGAGAAGCAAGCCGGGTATCTGTGGGCTTAGACTCCCTGTAGAGATGTGCGTGCTGCCACTGGGCATATTTAAAGGACTGTGAATCAGAAAGACGAAGAACTGTGCATTAGCTAATGAGAGGCAGCCTCTTTAGTCCACGCTACCACCTCTTAGATGCAAAGGTGCTACTTCAAATGCAACTCTAAGTCCTCTGATCAAGGAGGACTTGTTTAATCAGACAGTGAATGGTACTTTCTAAGTGCAAGAAACATCACATGTGGTCAAAGCTGCCATTTTTTATGAGTGAAATTCAAATTAGATGCTTTTGGGACACAGCTTTATACCATTACCAACCTCAGCTCCTCTGTTCATTTGGTGATAAAGGCGAGTCCCACGCTAAATGATAAACGACTAACAGCTTTCAGATTACAAAGGTGCTTAGTAAGTGTCAGCTGCAGAGGCATTTGCCAGTCATCATTTAAAATATGAGTAGTTCTTTCACCCTCTTGTTTGTATGACATCCTGAATTTAGGTCAGGCCCTCCTGTGCACGTGGACATTTAGTCGATGCATTTAGTAAAGCCCAGCTCAGTTTTTTCCAGTAGTTTCAATCAGACCCAACAGAACAGGAACAGCCGATAGCACTTAGTGGTAACTTCAGTTCACCTGATGTATGACTCCACTACTTCCTATCTTAAATGGAGACAACAAGGGGACAGAACACAAGCCGAGACATTCAGAAGCCAATAGAATACTTGGGTCTCTTACTAGGAAATAAAAACTAAAGCTGCCTTAGTTTGGTAAGCACTTTTCTGTGGAGAAAAGTGTTTTGTGGATGTTAGACCGAAGTGTCTTGATCAGTAGTTTATGCTAGGATTATCACAGCTGCCAGTCTTTTAACATGGATTTGGAACGGTCTTACAGAAAGTCATGACATTTTACTAACGCAATGTGTATTTCTCAGTTCTTAGAAGAACACCAATAATGAGAAAATTAATTGTATTTTAAATTTACCTGTGTGAGTGGAAAAACACAAATTTCTTAGCGTGTTTTAATGGTGAGTTTTTGCAGAAGCTAGAAGGGCAAGAGCTGGATCTCTACAGGAACAGTTATTCTTGTAATGCTGGTTAAACAGGCAAGTGCTTTTTGTGTGCTTATTGGCAGTAATACACCGCACTGCTGCCAAAGTCAGAGGGAAGAACTGGAGCCTTTTGATACAGGAGGAAAAAAAAAACATCAGACAGAGGAGGAGGGAGAGATTCCCAGGGCACACAACCAAACGGATGAGAAGTAAAAAGAACACCACAGATCTCAGCCTTTGTTACTATTTGCAGATGTTCCTGCAGACATCCTTTAATGAAGCAAAAGCTGAAAGCACAGGAATTTTTGCACAGCACTATGTTAGAAAAAAGATACTTTGTTATAGATCCCACACTTCAGACCCACCAAATTAAATTACGACCACGGGACTGAATTTCACATTCCCAATTTCTAATGCAAAAGCTTCACAAATTTTGTTTAGCGATTAAGGTGGAATAGGAATAATTTGGTCTTTGAAGCTCTTTTGCCTGTTTCAACAGATGAGAGAAATCTCCAATATCCTCTCTGCCTGCTGGAACGAAACTCCTGAGCTGATCCATCTGAGCTAACAGGGAGTAGCTGTTCCAAGCCCTACCTGCCGTTTCTCCCCCTCATTTTTTTCCAGCTCAGTGTGCTGTTGCAGGCGGTGAAGGCACTCGGTTCTCTCTGCGGACAGCCGCTCAGCCATAAGCTTGTCTAAAACACGGAGCTGTGGAAAAAAAACCCACAATTTAGCTGAGATGATCATGTTAAAAACCAAACAAAACCCCCATCTGTGAACCCTGTAAGTCAAAGTACAGTCTGTCTTTCAGTCTTTGTTTCTAGGAATGCTGCCAACTACAATTAGATGTCGCTTGCAAAAAGCTTCAGTCACAAAATTATCAATGAATAACAATTACATTAGAAATAAAAAATAATTTAGAGGATCTTGAATCTCAGTGCAAATAGAATTCAGCAAGAGGGATTTTTACCATTCCAAACCGACCAGCTGTAGGGCTGCCTTCTGTCTCTTAAGTTTCCCTCTTAGGGCCCCAAGCAGTTTAGATTTGTTGTCTAAAGAAGCACTGGAAGCCACTTAACACATTAAAGGTGTTTTTCTCAAGACCCTCCTTTGCAACATTAGATCCCTGTGGAATGTCACAGTTCCCTGGTCTTGAGTATTAGATTTCAGGTTCGTTTTTACAACACAAGGAGCAATACATGAATCATGACAATGAAAATACTCATTAAGCTTAGGATATGTTTCTAATAGTCATATGGGCAAGCACACCTCTGGGTCACATTCTTACTTGATGTTGAGTTTTGCTTTCCATCTGGCCCAGCTTAACATTCATCTTATCTTGTACTGTCCCAAACTCAGCTTTTATCTCTTCCACTGTTGCCTCCAGCTGATTCTCCAGTTTATTTATCAGGGGCTCACAACGACATCCATTTATCGGTGCCTGAAAGGAGCAATACATGTACTTGCTACGTCCCGCTGTCCTCTTAGCGCACTTAGAACTTGATCACAGTCTCCTTGAGTCAGTCTTGGGCTCTTCTGTACCATGTACTGTATCTCACCCTCCTGATAACATCTTACAGTAGCTCACCAAACAGGCTGTTAGTTGGAAAAGCACAGACCACAAAAGGATTGATCTGATTTATATGGGCATGTCCTAACACGCAGCAGCGTTGATTTTGCTGAGGCTACAAGGAGCCAAGAGCTCAGACCCCATGTGCCGTGGCACTGTGTGCTGTACGAAGGGATACCACATCACAGGCCTATACCCCGTGTCTCGATGCTATAGTTCTGATTTGTACCAAAAAAAAAAAATATTTAAAAAATCTGATTTTGTGGATGTATGTAGTTTTGTGTGCATTTGTTTTTAACGTAATGCCAATAATGTGCTCTTTTTCTTTTTTTCCAGGTACTGTATGGCAAGGCCTCTCTGCTCCTGTCTGCCTTGGCCCTGCTGGCGTTCACCCTTGTCTGCTGTGCACGCCGCTGCCTGCCTTTGACTGGTGTGACACCGTCCCAGGGCTCCTCTGACCACATTTAGGTCTCTTGGGGAGATGGTCACAAGAGGCTCCCCTAAGCAAGGACAGCTAATCCTCATCGGCTTCCTCGGCAGTCCATGGGCACAAACTGGCTCCTGCAGGGGGGTGAGTCAGGAGCCCAAAGCGGCTGCTCTGAATCTGTCTGCAGAGGAGCCTCCCTCTTGCTGTTGGCCCTGCAGTACCGCTTCACAAATTGGGGGTTATACCCTTGGCAGGGGAAGGCGGGTGGTTTGCTGAGCCCTAACGAAAGCTTCATGTGTTCTTAAGAGATTCTGTTTGCTATTCAGGGCCTGAGGGCATCAAAGAAGACAGACGAGCAAAAAACCGAGGAGAGCGAGGAGTGTCATGTATTTCATGAAATACTATAAGGGAGTCTCGCTCTAGTAAGCTAATCTTTGTGACTAGATTAGATTTGTATACAAATCCTATCTGCTCTCTGCACCTTTATTCCCCCTCCCCAAGTCTCTCATCTTGGCCCATCCTCCTACCCTCAGATCCTAGGGCCAGGGAGATACTCCTCTTAACATACGAAAGGTCCTCCATCCTTCCTGATGCCTGCTCCTAGGATAATCCTGTAGTGCCCCTGTCTGGAAATTTCCCAAGTGTTAGGCAGTGAGATGTTGTAAAACAAGGCCAGTAAAACCTTTGAAGTCTGACTTGAGTGATCTTCAGAGTCTGCTGCATTTCTTAACTCCAGCAAGGGACGGCAGAGAGCTGGTGGATGGATGTGAGAAGCTAAGGAAATGAAAGGATTGACCTCCCAGGGGTGCAGGAGGGCAATATTAAGAAAACAACAATATAGACGTTTACAAGGTCTACAGGGTAATTTGCTGACTGTTTTTATGCTTTTTTATAAATGTGCATTGGTAAATCCTTGTGTAATAAAATGACTAAACTACCAGTCTCTAAACTGGAACAACTGCAGATGAGCTGGTAATTCCAGGTTTATTTGTGAACCAGTTTCTATACAGCTCCTCCCTCCAGTGATCCTAGAATCCCCAGAGACATGTTGCAATAAACAGAATGGAAACAAAAATATATGTAGCCTACTCAAGCTTTTGGTTTAGGTAGTAAGTTTCAGCACTCAGACACTGCTCTCATTTATTTCCCTTGGAAAAGCCCTTTGCATCTCCTGTTGGAAATCTTAACGTTTCAGAACGTATCATGAAAGTTCCAGTGTCATTTCCAATCATGGTTCACACCTTACCTCCAAAAAGGAAACACCTTCCCTATCGAAACTAGTTAAGTGTGTCTACTTTAACACGCACAAAACCAGCAAACCAGCTTATTGTCTACCAGGCTTCAGGCCAAAAGGCAGCTGAAGCCCAGACAAGGAAAACAAATCCAGTCATGAAGTCATACCCCTGAGAGTGCAGTTAATTGAGCGTAGTTTCTATCCGTTAGCTAACTGCGCCCCAACTCCAGGCGCTGCTCCCCGTGCCTCCCTCCGCGAGGGCAGCGGCCTCACCTGCATCACCTTCCCATCCTTCCCTCGGTAGAGCGTGTAGAGCTGGTAGGCTCGGACCTCGTGGGGAGGGGGTGGAGAGGAGCAGTGATGTTTACTTCTGCGCTTAGGGACGTTTTGCTGGGGCCGAGGGAGCGTCTGCTGATCGGCTGGGGAGATGGGATCCGAGAGTGCTGAAACCTGCATAGAACAACAACCATTTCCCTATTGATGAGCCCCCAGTGAACTACTCCTGGTGGGAACGGGCCAAGTCCGTTGTGACAATTACAGTAAAAACACAATTAAAACACCAGGCCAGCTGCAGCGGCCGGCTACAACCTTGGTGTCTGTCAGCACAATCACCAGATTTCCGCACAAGTCTGGTTCGTGTGACCCTCAGGAGCGGAACGTCCCTAGCAGAGATGGGTTTTGTCTGAAGGCCACCTCTGCCCCACGAGCACGGCGGGGTTGCTGCCCTGACCCACCAACCCACCCAAGGGACACCTATACTACTGCTCAACAACTCTCTCTTCTCTCTCTGCTGTTTTAAATCTACTGATACCTTTTCCTTTGGCTTTCTCTTTTTGCTCTTCTTCCCTTTGGGATCTGGTGAGGCTGACCGGGGTTCCTCCTTCAGATCGCTCTTCCTCTGCGGTGGCTGGTCGCTGCTGGGTGTGTCGTCAGCAGCTGAGACGCTGCCCTGCTTGAAGCAAAGACAGGGAGAGCTCAGAGCAGTGGCAGAGATGGACAAAAGGTGCCTTTTCTTCAACTTCCCAGTTTTAAGCTGCTCTGCACACGTGAGCGGGCAACTCTTTAGCAGCACAGCAGGACAGACTGCCTCAGGCAGCTGCTGTGGTCATGCACAAGCGATGGCTCCAACTAGATTCAGTCCTGATGGGTTTTATTTACACTCCCTCCTCGCAGCAGATGCAGCTGGTGATGCTGGGCTGTACCTTGCTCTGTACCACTTCATCCCGTGGTACCGACTGAGCTCGCCTTTCCTCCTTCAGTCTCTCTCTCTTCTTCCTCAGGCTTCTTCCACGGTTAAAGCGTGAGACCTGAAGGCAGACCACACTGTGACTCAATGATGTCACGCTCTTTCCTACCGCAGAAGCCAGGTAACTGAGCAGCCCTTTTTCACCCCTGTCTAAAAGGCAATGGATAAAGGCGAGGGCGCTGCCAGATGGACACTGATGGGCCAAGCAACGTGGGCGTTGGTAGCCATGAAAGCCCCCTCCCCGAGCTCAGTCTGTCAGGGCACTTTGCTCTCCCCGGCAGGGGTGAGTGCTTCCTCCTGTATCCTCAGGCCAGTTCCCAAGCCAAGCCCAGCCCTTCCCACGCAGAGGCGACGAGGAGGAGGAGAAGGGCAGGGATCGCGCCTGGTCTCACACCAGAATACAGAGCCCTCCCACGTGCCTTCTGGCCTGAAGAGCGTTGTAGCATTTCACGCACAGCAGAAGAGTATAAACAGGACATTTTGTCCCCGTTTCAAAGTATCTTCCAGTGCAAGCAACCATCTTGGGGATGGGACATGCCTGAGGCAGGCAGCAGAGTGACACAAGCCAGGAGCTTTCGGGTACGGGGCAGCGTTCCAACCCCTGGGCCTCTGCAGGGAACGAGAGCCTCTGCCGGCTCCATTCCCTGCCAGTCGGGAGAGCGGGACCTCTGACAGCGCTTAAAGCTGAGGCTAAATCTGCACACCAGGCTGGGCTTGGGGGCTGAAAGACTCCACGTCAGTAGACTTGAGGCCAGCACACAGTGCCAGCAGAAACGTAGGCACCTTTCACAGCAGAAGATTAAGGACCAGGGGATGTGGCCTCTCAAGGTTAACCAGCCTCGGCTCCATGTGCGTGTGTGCGTTGGGGAGAGATCTGTAACGTACCTGTGATGCTTTAGTGAGGAGGAGCGCAACCTCTGGGTTATTGTGCTGTCTGGCAACCTCTAAAGGGGTCTGACCTGCCTGAGAGGGGGGGAAAAAAAAAGAAAAAAAAAAGGCATTTCCTTCAAAACATGAGCTACTGGAAATGTAGAATTTCTCCACCCAAGGTTAGTACAGGCTCTGTGCAAAAGAGTAAAGTGACTAACTGCTTTCATTTACCCAGATCTAATTCAACTCCAACACCCAAATATTTTCTACCAACACTATGAAGAGTGTCGAAGGGCATCTGCATTAATGCAAAATACCGAAGAAACTCCACGTCCTGCTTACATTGTTGACAACGGATGCATCAGCCCCTGCCTCCAGCAACAGCTTAACCACCTTCCTGTGATTTAGAGCAGCAGCGACATGGAGCGCAGTATCCCCTGCCTGCAAGTCAGAAAGCAGAAAACAACCGTGTAACACAAGTCCTTGGCGGAATCACACCTTCCTAAGAGATGCTCAGAGGTCAAAAGACCTACACTTACTGATGCAACAACTAAGCTTAAATAAGGCCTGGTCGATAAAAGAAAAGCAGAGTTGAGAGGAAGGGGACAGGAGGGGGCAAGGAGCTACTTCAGGGAAAGGACCTACTTCAGCCTGGTGTTGAGAAATGCAGCCGGGGCGCTGGTGATCTGGTTTAACTAAACCAAGCGACACACAACGCAGCTTGGAGACAGCCCAGCTCTACCACCAGCAAACAGATACGACATCTGAGGGCAGAACCGGTTTTCCCACCACAACCTCCTTTTTTTTTTTTTCAGGTTTGATTATTTGGTGCGCAGGTGGTCATGTATCACATTACTCAAAAATAATCAGATAAGTACCAGCAGCGAGATGGTTGGTGTTCTCTTCAGGAGATTCTTCAAAAAAACCAGGTTTTGGACCAAAGCCCAGAGGCGATCCTGGTCCAGCACTAACACACAGCCCTGCCCTTCTCCCGCTGCAGGGAGGTGAGGACGGCAGTGATCAGATTGGGGCAACAAAGCCAGCAGTTGTTCAAGGGAGGTGGGACACGTGTATAGAATGCCCTCCTGTCCCCTTTCCCTTGCATTTTGCCTTCAGAAAATTAGATCTCCTCAAGACTAGTGGGTATCTATTGCTTGTTGCTAACTTGGATAAGGCATATTCATAAATAAAATCAATATATGTGCAAATATGGAACAACTTTGGGTAGCACTGGGGAATGAAGGAAAGGGGTGTCTCTCTGGGCCAGGTTCACACCAGTTAATCTTAATATTCAGTAGCTTATTTTGCAAGTTAAAAAACTCATTTCCAAATAAAATTACATAGTAAATTCAACATGCTGAAACCCATTTTGTTTGCTGTAATATATCTAAGAAACAATTAAATTTACAGGTCAGGAAACATGTTTATGATCCTCAACTACACATGGAAAATTTCCCAGGAACATGAGACGATGTTGTGTTTAACACCACATTAAAATGTGTTAAATCTGCTAAACAGTTCTAACACACTTTAATGTACTAAACCCATTCTCTTCTACCACCATTTTAATGTACTAAAACCATCCCACTTCTACCTATAGGCTATGCTATAGGTACAACAATCAATTACTTCCCTATAAAACAAGTATTGATGATTAGTCCTAGGTTAGACTGATCATTACTGTGAATTTAAAGCATACTTTTTATTCACTTTTGTGTCCTTTTAATTCCCCCTACTGCAAAATGCAGCAAAGAAAAGTATTCCAGAGGAATTCGCGCTTTTGTAGCATCTGAAAGTTGGTGAGTTCTGCTTCACAATGTCTCTGTAATGGCCACAGGGTCATTAAATCCTAGTTACAGAGGGAAAAATGGCCCCCAGAAAATGACTGAGCCTCTTGCCCAGTCCCATTCTGCACAGAGCTGGTAAGGACCCAGGAGCGCCAACTCCTAACCCTGAGCTACGACCCCTGTCCACACCAACATACCATTGCAGACCTCATAAACAGGCAACACTTTAAAGAAATGATGCAAATGCGATGGGAAAATAATAAACCACTGTCAATGCCATTATTTTAAGGCTATTCTTAAAAGCTCAGGCATTTGGTGGTACAGTGAAACAGAGAGTGAAGCGGGATTACTTGGGTAGGAATCCCTCTTCCCAACAACCAGCCGCGTGCAAAGGGCGCAGAGTCGCAATGAGGTTCATGCACTGACCTGGTTCTTTTCATGGACAGAACAGAAAGCACTGAGCAGCACCCTAACGATGGGCAAGTGATTATAACGAGCAGCCACATGCAGACAGGTATCTCCTGCCTGCAAACAGAAACAAAGCTCTGAGCGTGTAATCACAGTAAGAAAGCTTGCACTTGTCAGGGTGTTCAGGGATGAAATCACCCTGTTAAACCAAAAAGAGCAGTCAACGCCACGCACCTCCCCTGAACAGCAAGGCTGTCCTCTCTGTGGTGCAAAATCTACTGCCACGGGTGGGAAGGTTTAGCAAGAGCTGAGGTCAGGCAAAGTGGGGGTATGAATTCTTTAACCACTGATGGGAAATACTGGAATTATAAAATGCTAGTTTACTGCACTACAAAACCTGATTTACTTGTTCACACTAAATCTGTTCTTCCGAACTGCAAACCCATGCGATTTGGACACTCGACTCGGTGTTGCACACGACGAAGAAAACATGAGGAGTGGGGAACAGAGCAGCATCTCCACGAGGGGTGGCACACGTGCAGCTGGGAGCAGAGCCCCACGGGTTTCCATTTCTGTGTACCTCTGCTCACCTTGTTACTGAGCAGGGACAAAACATCTGGCTTCCTTTTGTAGATTTTTTTTTTCCTTTGTCATGCCAGAATCATTATAAAATAGGAGGAAAGCTGTCTGAAATTGAAGTCACCTTGAATCCACCTCATTTGACTGACTGCCACACGGTACGTATTATCTGTCTCAGCGAGGGCAAGTCTGAAGACTTTCACCGCTCTGGCATAAATCCCCTTTAAGATTTCCATCTTTTTGAGAGAGGAGACCTTTTGCAGAACTGCACAACAGTGTATGGGTCAGGCCATCAGGACCCCAAAAAGCAGCAAAGGACCAACTGCCTCAGCCTGTGCAACAGCAAAACCCCCTCTGGCTCCTTCCACCCCCGCTCAAGAGATGGGTACAGGTAGGGCATCGCCTGTCCCAGCAAAAGTATTCCTGCACATGATGTATAAAATGGTTTGTTAGTGGGTTTTTGTCAATAGCATTTATAGTAAAAATCAAAGCTTAAAACATTTCTGAGTATTTCTACAAGTTAAAGCAATAGACCTAAAACAAAGGCACACAAAAACGAACAGGTTCTTTTCAAAACTCACATTATTTTTGAGGTCTGCTCGAGATCCTCCAAGTAACAAAACACGAGTGCTCTGGGAATGGCTATTCTGGCAAGCCAGGTGAAGAGGTGTGTTACCTGCCTTAGAGAAATACAGGAAAATATAAAAGCCGTATTTAGAAATCGGGCATAAGCATTAAAAAATAAAAACACAGAAGAAGATCCACCCAGGGGTGGGAAACTGTCATCGTTATTTTCACAAAGATATGAGCTGAATGAACCTGGAGACTGAAATACCCTCTTGATCCTGGAAATGATTTATCTGGGATACAGGACAGGCAGCAATTGGACAGTCTAATGATACCTACATCGGTCAAATCTGTTTGCAGGAAGCAAAGACTCTAGAAACTCTCTTGTTCATTAATATCAAAGAGCATTATCAAATATTTAATTTAAAGAAATACAATTCTTGTGTTTCAGGTTTTCCCCATGCACACAAAGAAACATGCTGCCGTGGCATAGTGTCTCTGATCTCAAGCAAAGCTGGCCGCGACTGCTGCAGGGTGTTAGGCAGAGGAGGGTCACGACGATTTCTGTTTCCTTACGATCGTAACACAAACCAGCTCCAAGTCTGGCTGGGTCTGTACTTGCTCTCCCAGGGCAGGATGCAGGTTTTTAGGCTATCGGGAAGCTTCAATGTTCAGAAAGCATGCCAGCCTCCAGCCAAGATGAGAAGGGGAAAAAAAAGCCACCCAAACCCCAGTGAATCACATGTGAGGGTTCCTGAAAGACGCAAACATGCAGTTTTTATGGACAGAAATCAAGGAAGAGTTTGCTTGTGTATTGTCTCTCTAACACTGTGAAGGATGTTATTGATCTGACAAGTTTTTCTGGCAGCATTTGGCTTTTGTTGGTCTGAATATGTTTGGGGGTTTTGGCTCTTGGGAGCTAGAAATGAAATCAGCTCAGGTAAAAAGGTTTCCCATGCTTACTAGGCTGCCTGTTCACCTTGATTACATCCGTTAATTTGTCCCCCGTGCTTTCAAGACACAGATCAATTTTTTTTGAACTACAGATAGCCAACTCCTAGATGTGGTCTTAGGTCTTCAGTTCCACATTACAGACTATTTCAGGCCTGAATGAAGTCTCTAAGCTGTGGCAGACACGAACATTTTCTTTCTCAACTGAACTGCATTTGAGTGTCAATTTTGTCCCTCCTGGGTTTATCTCCGAAAAGCTTCTGCAATGTCTTTAACGTTCGCTGTTTGGAAGGTCAGCCCTGGTGGGAAGGCAGAGAGGTCCTGTGCAGTAGGTGGTGGGCAAGGACCTCGATGCTGGGAGAAGTCAGGGTGCAGGTGCCTGGGGTCAGGGCTCACAGAGGAGGCTCACCGGGCTCGTCTCCCACGGGTGACAAATCTCTCACCAGCTTCTGTGAGAGGGAGAGCGGGTCCGAGTTGTACCGACCTGGGGGTCTTCATTGGTCTACTGAATCTTCACTGAAATGTACAGACTGGTGGAGGATCTAAAAAGAAGGCTACAGCTGATCGCATGGGATGATCTATCACAGTAGAAGAGTTTTTATTAAGCCAACTTGACTGAAAATACACTGCATCTCCAGGGTGACTGCTGTACAGGAGGAATAAGCTACCCAGGTGGTTTACCCACATGTTGTCCCATCCCTCAAATGCTTGCCTGACTTGCCTTTAAAATCCCAGGTGTCCTGTCTGGCTTCTGCATTTCACTTAATATAGAAGCCGTCTTCAATTGCATTGCTCTTTTATATACTGCGCCCAAGGTGCTGTGTTGCGAGAACTGCATCCGTACAATCATTCCTCAAGCAGTCCCAGGAGTTATTAACCAGGAGTTACAGAAAATAGAGTCAAATCCCTCCTTTTTTCTGCTGCTTAGCAGGGTTTAGCATATCTAGCAGCTCGTATCTGTCCCATCCAGCCAAGAATCGCACGATGCCCAGGTGTAAGTCAACAGCCCCGCAGGGTGCTCCTGCACAGGGCACTCAGCCCTGGCTGCCAGCAAAGCTGTCAGAAAGATGATGCCTTGTTGTCAGTAACATAAAAAGTTGAGAGACCAGGGAAACCATTTGAGGATTAGGTAGACTTAAGCTCTTCATTTTTCTTGAAATCAAAAGGGGTAAAAGCATGTGCATGTGTGCAAGCATGCACAACTCCCACATTTTTCAGCGGCTCCCCAGAAAAGATCCCGTCCACTAAAAAACACCCGAACAGTGAAATGCAAAGAGAGAGGATTGTGCGGGTAAGACATCAAAGACCAGCGCAGGAGCTGCTCAGGCAGTATTAACGTCTGTCAGTCGTATTTCAGACATCAACCCTGCTGAGCTATTCTGTGCACATGCTTTCCAAGAGAGGTTGTCTCCAGTTGACATATGCTGTATTGTAAGCTAAATCTTCTAATACCCTCAGGCATCCAAGTATGCAGGATAACCAGACTTGTATCTTAAGCCCACACCTTTGCCCAGAAGTATACGTATATACAGACAAGGATATCCAGGGCTGGGAGTATAATGGTTCACAAGACTACAAAGTCAAGCATGAGAAGTTGTCTAAAGTAGCTTTGATACAAATCTAGGTGAACATTACAGCAAAGATAATTACAGAAAATAAAAACTGGAAGTTGGAACAATATAAAAGAAAGAATATACATAAAATAGTATCAAAGATGATGTAATTATGGACCCCAAGGTGACCACAATTGTACAAACATATGCATATATACTGCTTATATACATGTGCACATACAGAAACACAGTGCTCAGGCAAGGTGCCTTTTTACGCAAAAATCTTCGACTTTGGCCAGCTGTCTTCTTTCTTCCCTTTCTTCGCTAGCCCCTTTCAGTTGTCATTGTAGAGACATGTTTACCACAAAATGCTCAGAGATCCCATCAAGTCATCCCAAACCCTCTCGCCTGTAAGGAAGGACAGGTGCCAACCGTGCGATCTGACCAACCCATCGGCACAGCAGTGCAAACCCTGGCTCAGCTCACACCGGAGGCTGCTACCGCCATTTCCTAGACTATTCCATTAACTTCTGAATTAGTGAATTGGAGTCTCCCACAGGTAGTACAGTTAGAGTGGAACTAAAACCCCTTGCTTTGTTATTCTTTCCTCTAAACTGCTCTCAAGGTATTATAAATACCAAAAGGAACATCATCCAGGTTAATCAGAAGATTTTGGTAAGAGCCTACGCTAATATATTAGGAAGAACTTTCTAAAAAAAGATATGCTATTTTTTTTCCCCTCTGTGGTTTACATTCTTTCGGTTGTTTAATTTCCAAAAAAAAAAAAAAAAAAAAAGGATTTTGATTGCCATTTTCCTATTAGTACAATTCATTCTCATTTTAAATTACAGCAATTGCAATGAATCTGTTTGGTATAAATTACAGCACCGTGGAGATTTGTGCAGGAATTGCAGTGTTCCTCAGCTGTAATTAATGTATCATTCAATGCACTATTGAGTCCCTCCTGCATCAGCTGTGAAAATATCAATTTCTTCATGCCTGTGGAGGAACCATCCAGGCATAATACATGCAAAAAAAGAAGAAGAAGAAAAAAAAAAAAATAATCCCTCGAGGAGCTGGTCCCCCACCCGCTGACAAATGCCACGGCCAGAAATCTCCCGTGTTGAGAATCAGCCACCTTACAGCAGAACTGAAAGCTCCTCCTGCATGGGTCTCACCTTGTTCTTGGCGAGAACGTTGGCTCCAGCTTTAACGAGCACTTTGGCAGACTGACTGAATCCATGCCAACAAGCTTCGTGAAGAGCAGTGTTCCCATCCTGAAGAGCAGACACACCAGAGGAGAAGGTTACTGTGCTGCGTCCACACACAGAGTAATGCTGCATTCAGAACGCGGGAGCTGCGCCCCCCACCTCCTCACTTAAAACAGAAAACATTTTCCTTTCCTACTAGTTTATTTTGTATTTTATTTTTAGAAGAGGGTAAAAATATTGTTATTTCTTCTGTTTGGAACTTGCAATTATTTATATTTACTCCCAAACTAAATTTACAGCCTGGGAGTCTCAGTTTCTGGGATAATCAAGGCAAGCTCTGCAGCGTTTTGTGTAGGGCATAGTATGGTTGTACATTTCTTTAATTCCTCCCTTAAGGGGCTCAGAACAGACTCTTAAACCAAAGACTATCAGCCTGATATAAAAAAAACCCCAACCCTAAACCAGTAATTGAATTAAAGACATGGTACTGCTTTTTTTTCCCATCAGCCTGATATAAAAAACCCCAAAAAACTAAATCAGTAATTTAATTAAAGAGATGGTATGGCTTTTTTTCAATGTAACTGTTCCAATAACTTTCAAAGCATCAGACACTTACTCAGGAGTATAAACTATAACTTTCTCTCTGAGACCTTAATATTACCGCTGGCAAAGCCTACAGGGCTTTGCTTTTGCCCGTTACCTTGTCTTGTCTGTCCAAAGCACACCCCTCTTGAATCAGAGTTGCTATAACATCGGTGTTCCCTACGACAGCAGCCCGGTGCAATGCTGTCTGATCACCCTGCAAAAAGAAGCAAATTTGTAATGGGTACCATTCATTCCCACCTCATTTGGAATCAATGCAAATGCGTACAGCACACACAGGGGCTCCATCTCCAGCACACATACTGTTTAAATCCAAGCTGCCTTGGAAAACAGTCCCCATAAACAACTATCATTACAGTTTCCAAGATTAATGAAGTTATGGAAAGTATCAGAGAGCTACAAACCAGCTGTTTACAGAAGTTTGCAAGTCATCACAATCCCATATACAGCGCTGAAGCGTTCTAAAAATACGGTAGTATTAGAAGGCAGTGAACCTAGCACATTTGGCACTAGGTGTCTAATAATTGACAGTATCTGTAGGGAACTAAAGGGAATTACAGGCTGTCGTAATTCACCATAATGTTCTCCAGGACTTACACTAACTGGATGAGGCTCTCCTGTTTCCTCTGATTGCTCCATCAGCCCTGCTTAGGATAAGGAGCGCGAGATGAGATCGGTCTCTTCAGCACCTCTGATGAATTTACCAATTAGTGCTAAGAGTGGAGGCAATTTTATGATGAGGACTACAACTGCAAGACTATCAACTTATTTCATTCAAGCAACCGAGCGATCTTGAGGTTCAAACGACTTTCATTTCTCATTGACCTGCCACGTAGCAGCAACAAGCAAGTTTCTTACATCAGTTTATTTCCTTTACGGCCAAGTTTCCAAAAGAAATGATGCTGATGCGGTCATGTTGTCTGACTGCCCATCTATCTCCCCTCTAACAACTGCTGAACACATATGCTGACCTAGAGAGCCCAAGATCAATTTTCTACAAGTCTTCCAGAAACTGAAGACAAGGGAGACACAAGCGACTGGCCCTGCCCATTAGGTTTATCTATATATTTTCATATGCATGTTGGTAAGACTGTGATGAAAGATGGGGAACAGGAGGATTTATGCAGCAGCGTGTCGGGGTGTAAGACACCGATGGATGGGAAAATG